CTTACATTACAAAATAAATATTTTTAAATATTCGATTTATTATAATACATTTTCCATTTAAGATGGAAAAATATCTGAAACTTTGTACCTTCAATTCCAATTTTAAAAGATGGAAATCTTTGTGAAAACAAAAAAATAGAAATCTTTAATAAATTCTCCACAACACCAATCTTTGGAAATATTCGAAATAAATAAAAAAATGTTTAAATGTCAATTAGATTTGTAATTTCTAAATATATTCCCTTATAAATTATTTGGGAAGTAATTCTTCTAAAAAAGCTTATGTGTCTTCTCTAAAATCGTTCTTCTAAAATTTATTGTGATATTGAATTCTCTAAAATGTGACATGGCAAAATTTATCAAACATTTATCCTACTGATTTAGCGCACTAAAATTTATACCAAAGAAATTTAATCTCACAAAACTACTTAAATTTAGCCGACTAAGTCAAAAACTACACCCACAAAATTTTTGTGAGAAAACTAATTAAATTTGTATTGTAATTAGCCCATTAAACCTTATACCCACGAAAATTAATCTCACAAAACTACTTGAATTTACCAGATTTTCTATTCTAAAATTATATAGATAAGGGATCAATTTCACAAGGACTTCTTAACAACACTTCAAATTGTAATGAATAAAACTAAGGTAGAACAAAATATGTTTGTCGTTTTTGTGATTGTAAAATAAGCAAATAACAAATCTAAATAGCAACGGAAATCAATAAGAGAAAAACGTTAGGACTTAGGTAATTCGAAGAGAATCATGCAACAATAAAGATTGATTGATTTTAGGAATTTAGGAATTATGAATCGTGTAGAACAGAAAACACAGATGTAAGATCTTTCCACTGTCGTGGCTCTGACCTCTATGCTTTAACACCCTAATAGACTCAATTATCGCAAGTTATTACAAGGAGAAAACATGCATTAAAGTTTGAATTCTGATAAAAAATTCACCACACTCTTTAACTAACTTTTCGAATTGTTAAGATGCTTGGCTCATCAAACACTTGTTCAAGCAATATAACAAGGTTTTTGAGAGTATATCAACCTAAGATCAAATGGCTAGATGCGCGGTAAAGCAATCATCTTTATATTTTTGCTTATATTTTGCTTATGTTTTGCTTATGTTTTACATACTTTTGTTTTTTTCAAATCAGTTTCAAAAGTAATCGGAGACTAAGCTTGTTTTTACAGCTGTACATCTATGGACACTAAGACACACTTCTAGACTCGAAAGAACGACATTTCTACAAAGATTACTTCATCGAATGATCGATCGACTTCTTTTTGGTTAGTGCAAGGTCACTTTACCAGGTACACCAATGTATTTTCTAATGTTCAACACATTAAATGTTTTACGTGTAGATTAACACTTTGAAAACAAAACAAAATTATAGGACTTCACCATTAACTCGGTTCCGAAGGAGAATAAACTCGGGTGTATCACAACAAATGGAAATATATTACAAATCGATCTAGCATGATTTGATTTCGTGAACTACAAGATCAAAGGAAGCGTGAAAGTGTGGCTCGGACGCTCCTGGAAGCCTTATGCAAAAGTGGTCTTTTGAGAACATAATGTTTCGAGTTGTTTTCCTTGATGCAGAGAATGACATGGGAGATCACATTAGACAAAGGTTTTAAAATATGTAAGTAATAAAGTTTTTTGAGGATAGTGTATTCGATAGAACTTAATTGAGTTGAACATTCAGGACGGTGTATTACGGGAACACCAGTGCTACAAACCTGGAGCAAAGCAACTCCAAATTTAGAGGGTTCTCCTTTCACCAGCATCTCCTTTATCGGCGGAGGCCAGTGGCTTTAGAACACAAAAATTTAAGACTATTTTATAGCCGTTAATTTAAAAATCAATGATAACAAAAAAAAATTTCATTTTTAATAAATAGGTGTGGAAAAATTCCGAAGAAGCAAAAACGCTGGAAACTATAGAACATGAAATAAAAAAACTTTCGATCATCATCAGCACATCAACTATCAGAGAACAAGTCCTAAGATGCATCCATATAGCTCTACTATGTGTCCAAATAAACCACAGAGTCGTGGCGATGTTAGAAAACGAAGAGATAGTCATTCCTCAGCCACAAACACCCATTTGTTATGTCTATGAAAGTACTCATATCGAACAACATGAAACCAATCTTTGCTCGAACAATCTAGTCAGACACACCATGTTGGAGCCTCGTCCTCTTGTTTATGTAGTTTTTCCTTTCACCAACATCTCCTTTATCGACAGAGGCCAGTGCCTTTAGAACACAACAATTTAAGACTATTTCATAGCCTTTAATTTATCCGTAGTCGAATAGTTTTATGAGATACCTTAATCCATGTATGCTTTACTTCTAAAAGTGGTATATGTAAGACGACAACTTTAACATATTTGCGAAAAGTATCTACCGCATAATTGTTTATGAAAACACAATTGTTAGGTAAAGAGTACACCGATCAATTTTCTCACATGAAATATTATGCGGAGCAATCCTCTGAATTAGTCATCCATTTTAGTACTTTGTTTGTTGGTTTTTGTTTTCTCAGTTAATATTGAATGAAACCGAACCGGATGAATTAAGGTCTCATCTTTGTAATTCCATCTTTCAAGTTTGTTAAAATCATAAATCAAATTTTTACACAAATTTCAATACAATTTGTTTCATCTTAATCTTATTAACATTGGAAAAAAATGAAAACTTACCTAACTTACATAATGAATCTTGCGTGAATAAAAGAAATTCTACCACTATACATATTGAAGTAAAGCGGGTAAATCCTTGTCTAAATATTACATTGGACTATGTTGGTCAACAAGTTTCTGCGATAGCCCAACAGACATCAAAAAAAAACTCTGCATTAATATCCTAGGCATTGTGGAGTTGACCATATAACCATTTTTTTGTTCCAAGAGCTCAACACCTAGATACCAAAGCATCATAACAAACTTATGCCACAATATTGTATCAAAGAGTAATCTCCCAATGTGAGGAATGGTACATGCCAGTGCCTGCCTATTGTCGTCCATATCACAAATTCAGCATAAAAAAATGGGACTTTACGGATGAGGAAACATAAGTGTTTCTCATTCCCTAACAATAATATCCCACGTATAGCTTGATAGCTTCACAACAGGGCATGATTTATGCAACCTACAATCTTGATACTTTAGTAGCCTCCTCTTCAACATTGTACATAATAGCAGCTCTTAACAAGATAGAGATTCTATTCTATTCTACAATATCATAATCTAGCAATCTAACGATCCAACATCTTTCGATACTTGGATTTTATGGGCTTCAATTCATAGACTGACTCTGATAACCCACATTCATTCCTCAAGATATATGTTTTGTTCCACAAGTTATCTCCAATAAAATCACCTAGAATATCTAGTTTAATATAAATCGGTTTTATATATTTTGGATTTCAATTGTTACTTTGCTTCTTTAAATACAATCCTCTATCTAAAAATTGAAATTAACTTTGGATCGGTTCATCTGCAGTTCCTCTGCTGCTCATTGAACTTCTTTAAGAATGTTTCATGGACTTAGCTTCTCCAATTTTTCCACCTTTTCTCCAAACAACCTCAAGACATTGACTCCTTCGTTTCCAACTCTCTGAAGTTCGTGACGGAAAGCCTGTCTTTTTTTCTGAAGCTGCCTGCAAATCACACACCCATTGATATCACAAGTTTAAGAGCATTCTCTTATTCCAATCAAAATACAAGATTTTGTAGTAAATAAGTG